AGAGAGAGAGAGAGAGAGAGAGAGAGAGAGAGAGAGAGAAGCGAGACCGTCAATCGGTGCCAATCTTGTTCGCAACGTGAGCCACGTTTCATCGTCATTCACGATTTGTGTTCCGGCACGGCCAAGCTCGCCAGAACCGCTGCGGGAGCCGATGCGAAGAAGATCAAGAGACCGAGAGCGTCGTCAGCTGGTACGGACGAAACTTACCGCTCGTACTGTACTGTATATCCGACATCTTGGATTCACAACAGTCGCGAGTCGTGGGTGGCGCCGTGAGTTCAAACTGATTCTGCGCACCTTTGACCTTGCCCTAAGATCGCTCGCAACGAACATTATTTGATTGCAACCGAGAAGCGGACGGTGCCCGGTCGATAGGGACCGAAGGAGGCCAGCCCCATGCAGTCACCATGCATCGCAAGGGGGAAAGCGCGCGGGCCTATACAGTACGCTGCGTGTTGGGCAGCCTGCCTGCCTGCCTGCAGCACAGCAGCAGCCGCGCACGAGAAACAATCACGCTGCCGCCATCACTCGGGGCGCAGGCAGGCAGGCAGGCTGGCTACATATACAGTACACGGTATGCTGTAGATAGGGGCCAATCACGAATGCTGGCTGGGCCGCTCCGCTACGCAGCTACGCGCGGCCTCTTGACTTTTAGCGTGACTTTTTACTTTTGGCAGCCAGACGCCGCGATGTGTGCAAAACGTTGCAACGGTGCGAATCACGAATCAGAATGAGCGAATGAGCCAATCTCTCGTTTCATGCGGTTGCTCGCACTGGCTCCACGCATGCATGCTGCAGGCAGCAGCAGGGTCGCACCTCAACTCACGCTTGCTTGCTCCTGCCCGAGCTGCAAGTCCGAGGAACACGAACACACACACTGGCGCGGAGCCTGCCCTGAGCTGTTTGGAGACGAAGAAAGAAAAGCAAAAAGTGGAGAAGAAGAGCGTGGTGCAGAAGGTGAAAGACTCACACTGTGACTTGCTGCATGTCTGCGCGGCGAGTTGCATATATGCCCTCTATCGAAGTGCTCGACGAGCGCGCACCTTCAGCGTGGAGCTTTCTTTGACCCTTGTTCAAGCAGCAGCAGCAGCAGCAGCAGCATATGTGCAGCAACCCGAGGCAGCAGAGTCAGAGTATCCGCGGCGCGCATGGTGCGAGTATTGAAATGCGTTTGCCCATCACTTGAGCTTGATGATTCAATTGAGATCTGAGAACGTCGCGGGAGATCTTGAGCGAATGCGTGGCAAGCTGCTCACAGGCAAAAGGCTAAAAGCGGCACCAGACGTGTACGCGCGCGCGCCACCCGAAATCGGTCGCGCAGATGGATGGATGCCTGCGCTGGTACGTCCGCTTCGATCGCGCACGCGCACGCGCACGCGCGCTACGGCGGCTCATGCTGGCTCGTGTGCTGTCTGTATACCTACCGTAGAGTCATAGCTGCACCGAATGCATGGCCTGCCTGCCGCGTGCGCATGGATGGAAAGCCCCTCGCTCACGCTTTGTCTTCATCGGCGGCTGCCTGCGTGCGTGCGTGCGTGCGTTGCGCGTTTTAGCAGCCTATACAGTTGCTGCTGCTGCTGCTTGCCAGGAGTCGTGAGTCTCTGAGGTCTCACATCAGCGTAGTGAGTCCTGCGGGCTGATTTCGATGAAGCGATCGAAAGTCACACACTTGCGGGCCATGGGTCCATCGAGGTCGCGAAACCTTTCCGCCTTCCCACACTCCCAGCATTCACGATTCAGACTTTTGACTTTTGCCGTCGCTGAAATTCGCTTCTCCTCCTCCTCCTCCTCCTCCTCACCACTTTTCTTTCTCCTCGGTGGGGCAGCGCTCTACGCGTCAATCAGCAAGTTCCGGCACCGGGGCGAGATCCGGATCAGCACCCATCAAAGAGCGAGCGTATAGGTCTAGAGGCTCGAGACCCATACCCAAGGCGTCGGAGGTCCGGCGCAAACAGGCAGCTCCGCCGAATCTCAAAAAGGCGAGAGGAGTAAACGGATGGCACAGAGAGCGTATTCGTTGTAGCAGTCGAATTTGCCATCGTCCTGGTGAGTTTGGCTGCAAAGGCGCGATCCGAGATGGATGAGGTGGATCAATGGCAGTTGCGGTTCCGCGTGCGAGGAGGATCAGTTAGTTCATCACGGATGGTTAGATTGGTGGAGTTTGGGTCGCAGAAAGCGACTGAATGCTCCGTCGCCAACGGAGGCGCTCGCTCAGCGTCTACATCGACACGTTGGCGGGTCGCGGCAATCGTGAATGGCGAGGCTGCTGGCGTGCGTGCGTGCGTGCGTTCGTGATAGAGAGGGGGGGCGGCTGCGTTTGTCTCAGCTGCAGGAACATTCATCTCGTCCATGGATGGCATGCGCGTGACGAGATGGTGACTGCGCAAAGCGGACACTGTTTGGCAAATTAATTGGAATTGCGTTTGCTTGTGCGCACGGTGCGGTGCGGTGCGGTGCGCGCGGGCGTCGGCCGCAAATCCATCATCGATCGCAATGATCACG